GGACATAGCTTACAGTAAAGTTTAAATTAAGTACAATTAACTGAAAAAAGTATTGAAGGTGAATCATTGAGCAAGGCAGAGTAGATAACCTTCACAGAGCTTCTACTTTTTTACTCTACTGGTGAAACTCGAAAAATTAGAATATCGTGCAAAAGTTCATTTATTTCAGTAATGCAACTTGAAAGGTGAAACTAATATGTGAGATAGACTCATTACATGCAAAGCAAGATAGTTCAAGCCGTGATATGTCATGATTGAGATGATTATGGCTTACAGCTCATGAAAACCTCAAATCCACATTCTCAGAAAATTAGAATATTGTGAAAAGGTTCAATATTCTAGGCTCAAAGTGTCCCACTGTAGTCAGCTAATTTAGCCATAACACCCGCAAAGGGTTCCTGAGCCTTTAAATGGTCTCACAGTCTGGTTCAGTAGGAATCACAATCATGGGAAAGACTGCTGACCTGACAGTTGTGCAGAAAACCATGACTGACACCCTCCATAAGGAGGGAAAGCCTCAAAAGGTAATTGCAAAAGAAGTTGGATGTTCCCAAAGTGCTGTATCAAAGCACATTAATAGAAAGTTATGTGGAAGGGAAAAGCGTGGAAGAAAAAGGTGCATGAGCAGCAGGGATGACCGCAGCCTGGAGAGGATTGTCAGGAAAAGGCCATTCAAAAGTGTTGGGGACTTTCACAAGCAGTGGACTGAGGCTGGAGTCAGTGCATCAAGAGCTACCACACACAGGCGGATCCTGGACATGGGCTTCAAATGTCGTATTCCTCTTGTCAAGCCACTCCTGACTAACAATGTCAGAAGCGTCTTACCTGGGCTAAAGAAAAACAGAAGTAGTCTGTTGCCCAGTGGTCCAAAGTCCTCTTCTGATGAGAGCAACTTTTGCATCTCATTTGGAAACCAAGGACCCAGAGTCTGGAGGAAGAATGGAGAGGCACACACTGCAAGATGCTTGAAGTCCAGTGTGAAGTTTCCACAGTCTCTGTTGATTTGGGGAGCCATGTCATCTGCTGGTGTTGGTCCACTGTGCTTCATTAAGTCCAGGGTCAACGCAGCCGTCTACCAGGAGATTTTGGAGCACTTCCTGCTTCCTTCCACAGATGAGCTTTATGGGGATGCTGACTTCATTTTCCAGCAGGACTTGGCACCTGCCCACACTGCCAAAAGCACCAAAACCTGGTTCAATGACCGTGGAATTACTGTACTTGATTGGTACTTGGGGCATTGCCAAGAGAAAGATGAGAGACATGAGACTGAACAATGCAGAAGAGCTGAAGGCCACTATTGAAGCATCCTGGTCTTCCAAATCACCTCAGCAGTGCCACAGGCTGATAGCTTCCATGCCACGCCGCATTGAGGCAGTAATTGCTGCAAAAGGGGCCCAAACCAAGTACTGAGTACATATGCATGCTTATACTTTTCAGACGTCCGATATTGTTCTATGTACAATCCTTGTTTTATTGATTGCATGTAGTAGTCTAATTTTTTGAGATTGTGGATTTGGGGTTTTCATGAGCTGTAAGCCATCATCTCAATTACGACAAATCATGGCTTGAACTGTCTTGCTTTGCATGTAATGAGTCTATCTCATATATTAGTTTCACCTTTTAAGTTGCATTACTGAACTAAATGAACTTTTGCACGACATTCTAATTTTTCAAGTTTCACCTGTAAGTTTTCATTGGGCTGTATAATCTATCCTATTGCTTTGCCTGGCTCTCTTTCTTTTGGCAGATATCTCCATCTAGCTCACAGATCAAGCTATTCATGTATCCAAGAAGCATGAAAGCCACACATAAATCACTGCATGTGACAACATCCATGCATGCCACATATAAAGTTATGTTTTATATATATATATGAAGAAATGCAGCATACCAATATGTGTAAACGGGGAGAACACAGATATGTGTGATGCTACTGTAGACCATGGCTTTTTTGTGTTTCCTCCATATAAATAACACTTGAGGCATTTGTAATTACTTTATTAAGTTTCATATTTATTTACATCTCCTAAACCTTTTCCCAAATACAAAGACTTTTTATATCCTAAGACTAACAAACATGAGTGAAGATGGTAATGGCTTACCAACTTAATACTAACATAATATATTCCGTCCATGAAGCAAGGGTATCATTTGTATACTAGCTCAGAAATGTAAGAAATAATCATATGCCATTCAGTTCATGGACACATACAACAGTTGAAAAAGTTCACTTAAGATTGAGGAACATTTTGGAAATTATTTGGAGAAAATTCTTAGATGCATGAATATAGAACCTATCTGCACCTTTCCTGACTTGCGTAGTTGCTCTCTGTAGCTATCATGCAATTCCTGAAAAAGAAGTGATTGTTTTAGTTGCAAATAGATACAGTGGAACACTATTTTGAAATCAAATGCAAAGTACTGTACAGCCAACATTTGACCAAACTATAGTTTGTATTTCCTGCATACCTAGGGTGTGTAGTATGTTTATTGAATCCCTTTGTCTTGGATTGTTGCCCACTAAATTGGACTGGATTTTGATTTGCTAACCTAGCACATTTGATTATGTCATATTCGGCAAAGCTGCTTTAATAGGAACAAATATTGAAAAGGCAAAGTTTTTCTGTCCCATCCATAGGCAAATATACTATTTTGTATAATTGACTAATCATTTATGATCATTGTTAGCTGTCATAGAAATCATTTAATAGGTGATATAAAGAGGCCTTGGTTTAAAAGCATACATTGTTATTACCTTTATTGTCAGAGTACAACATGTGTACAATGAGATTGGCTGAGTTTCCCTTTGTGCACCACCCCCCCACAACTCACAGTGAGGACAGAAGTCCCTAACCCAGACCCAATCTTATTACCCTACGTGACCTTGTTGCACAACGCGCCAGCCCCACAAGTCTGTCATACTATGTTGACATCAAGTTATTTTCTGTTCAGAAGTCTGACAGCCCATGGGTAGAAACTGTTCTTCAGCCTGTTGGTGAGGCTGGCTATACTTCTATATCTCCTACCCGATGGTAGGAGAGTGAAGAAGTGCTGACCAGGGTGTGAGTTGTCCTTGAGAATTTTCCTTACTCTTCTAAGGCAGCAAGCCCTAGCGATGTCATCTAGTGGTATCAGGGAACAGCACACAATGTTTTGTGCTGTGCACACTACCCTCTGTAGTGTCTTTCTATCCGTGGCTGTCAAGCCAGCATACCACACCGTAATGCAATATGTGAGGACGCTTTCTATTGTGGACCGGTAACAGGAGGTCATCAGTCATTGTTCCACTTTATTCTTTCACAAGACCCTAAGGAAATGGAGTCTCTGTTGGACCTTTCTGGCCACCCAATACAGTAGTATCATCTGTGAACTTAATAATCACAGTGGATGGGTCAGACAATACACAATCGTGTGTACAGTAAGTACAGGTAGGGACTGAACACACAGCCCTGTGGGGAGCCAGTGCTAATACATTGCTAATAAACCTGGGATGGTAGATCTTTCAGGAATGCCACTTGAAGTATGTCCTGAAACAAATACAATTAAAATCAGTATACCTCAGGTTTTTAAAATGGAAGGGCAACATTTGTGGCTTGCTATATGTAGGACTGTGGTTCTATTATTACTCTTATACAAATATGCTGTTTTGCAGAACATACTGTAGACAGCAACTAAGGGAAATTGGAGACACAGGTTTCTGAAATCTCTAAATGAGCCCTCTGTGTCTTTTCCAGTTTTCCATGGCTGCCTTTGAATCATTTGTTCAGTGCATTACTTATATTAAACTTCTGATTCATGAGTGAGCAAGAGCGTTCCAGATGTTTTTGGACTGCTATTCTCATCATTCTTGGTAACTAAGCAAGACCTTTGGGGAAAAAAAGCTGATGCCACATCTAAAATGTAGTTTTGTATTGAAATTAGATGGATTAATATCTTTCTTTCAAGACAGCAAAATATTAAATTAAAATGTAATTCTTCCATGCTGTTCTAGTCCATTTTTCTGATATTTTACATGGGCTTGGAGAAAAGGATAAATGGATATAATTGTGAAGATATTCATGAAGTATCTTGTGAGATATAAAACATTATATGGTAAAACTAGCTTCACAAGTTTGATCTATGAAAGTTGTGTGGTGGTATTTGTTTTAATTCTTAGGTCCCACAGGAATTTTTGTTGTAACATTTCTTCAGGTAATGTTTTCTAACTCAAACAATTGTACAGAACAAGTTTTGTATTCCATTGTTAGTATTTTGATATATTTTTTAATTTTTCTTTAGTATACACTTACATCTAAATATACTACAAACAAATGATAAAAATCACCACACTGTATAAGTGGGTACCAGCAATATACTACAATGAACCTTTTAAATAGATGCACATGTTTATAATTTTGGATTCCCAATTATTTGTATGGGACAAATAGATACTGAATTTTCTTAAGAAAAATGTCAGGGAATTGTGCAGCCAGTGTCCAGATGGAGTCAGAGATGCTGACATGTACTTGCCATTTTATATAAATAAATATATTTACAGTAAATAAGATAGGCAGACATCAAGTAAATCAACACAGTAGGAACATTATGAGGTAAATTACAGAGAGCACACAAAGCACACACACGTGCAAAACAAAGGTGGGGAAACAAGAAAACTCCCCCTTTACTCCAATTACTCCAAGTATAGCTCAGATTCTCTCATATGGCCAGCTCTCTTTAACAAATTAACTATAACTGTGTGTTCTTACTTATTGTCCAACCCTTCACTGCTCCAGCTATTACATTTTAAAATAACTTAACATCTTCCAATTTATAGCTGGACAGCATTTAAACCAAATTGTTTCCCAAGATACTTGTGTTTCTATATATCCATATATACATTTTCACCGCGTCCCTGACATTACAAGAAAACACACCATGCCACTGTGCAGCTGCTGATATGGATAACCTGTATCCCATATACATATTGCTATAGTCTTTCTCCCCTTTCTCTAGGCAGTGCCCCCTCCTGTGTGGAGATGGAAGCCAATGCAGCAAGCGATGAGGGTGTGCATTTCCAGAGTTACCCTTTTGACTTCTTGGAGTTCCTGAACCACCAGCGCTTTGAACCTATGGAGGCCTACAACCATGAACATGCCAAAGCCATTGCTGCCCTCCCTTGCCCACAGCCACAGTATGAATATGCCCAGCCACCAACAGCTGTTCCACCTGCTCACTTTGACCGCGTCCCTGCCACCATTGGCACACCTAAACCCAAAGCTGAGGGCCCGTCCTCTTCTTCCTCAGCTAGCTCATCTAGTACCATTCAAGTTAAGAAAGCTGAACCAGGGGCCCCTGTGCCACCTCCACCTCCCCAGCAGCAACAGCACCAAGTGCCATACAGTACTCCAGCAGGTCAGCCTCTCTTTGACAGTACAGCAGCAGCAGCTGCAGCTTATAACACTCCTCAGTGGGGCATAGTAGACCTTTCTGGCCACCAACATCTCTTCAACAGCCTGAAACGTGGGCAGGCTCCCCCATCAACTGCAGCCACAGTAACTCCTGACAGTCAGGCAGGCAAAGATGATAAGAACTATTTTCGTCGACTGAAATACTTCATTGATCGGCGTTTCCCATGCGGTGTATGCCAGAAGTCATTCAAGCAGTCATCCCATCTTGTGCAACACATGTTAGTGCACACAGGTGAGCGGCCGTACGAATGCACCACCTGTGGCCGTACCTATAACCATATCTCGAGCCTCATCCGGCATCGCCGTTGTCACAAAGACACTGAGGATGCTACTGCTGCTGCCAATACTGTGGCTGCCAATGTAGCAGCCGCCAATGTGGCTGCAGCTGCAGCTGCTGCTACCGCCAGCATAGCACCTGGTGCTGAGGGAGCAGCCCAGCCTCCTACCCAAAGCAGCAACCCCCAGTCAGTAGCTGCACCATCTGTAGGAACAGCTACATCTGCCCTCAGTGCTGCCATAGCTCAAGGCGAAGGTCCTTTTGCCTGCTCTCTGTGCTGGAAAGTGTTTAAAAAGCCAAGTCACCTTCACCAGCATCAGATTATTCATACTGGTGAGAAGCCATTCTCCTGCTCTGTCTGCCAGAAAAGCTTTAATCGCCGTGAGAGCTTAAAACGACACGTGCGGACACACTCAGGCCTGTTGCGAGTGCAGTGTGGGGTTTGTGGCAAAGAATTCCGGGATGCCTCCTACCTCCTCAAGCATCAGGCCACTCATGCTCCTCCTGGAACTTTACCTCCACGCCCCGAGTACAAATGTGACATTTGCGGAAAGGGTTATGTGGCTCCCCAGAATCTACTACGTCATCGGCAGCTCCAACATGAGGGTGCCCAGCTGTCCAAGGATGGCACTAATACCTTGTCTTATCTGCCACCAGGGTCCTACCTCCTTCCACAAGACCCACAAGGTACAGGCTCTGAGGGAGACACCAAGCCAACATCCTATGGCCTCTTGGGTGCCCACCCCTTGCTGGTGGGGACAGCAGCAGGCAAGAATTTCTGCTGTGAAATCTGTGGCCGTGGCTTTGGGCGACGGGAGACACTAAAGCGTCATGAGCGGATCCACACAGGTGAGAAGCCTCACCAGTGCTCAGTGTGCGGGAAGCGTTTCCGTGAATCTTTTCACCTCAGCAAACACCATGTAGTGCATACTCGGGAGAGGCCGTACAAATGTGAAATATGTGGGAAAGTGTTTGGTTACCCCCAAAGCTTAACTCGGCACAAACAGATTCACCGATTACAGCTACCTTGCTCTTTACCAACCATGGGGTCTTCCCTGACCCCCATGGGCCCTTCTCTCCCTCCACCCCCTGAGGGACTAACCTATGGCTGTTCTGACTGTGGAGAGCGCTTTCCTGATCTTTTTCATGTCATGAGCCACAAGGAAGTCCATGTGGCTGAGAAGCCCTACCCTTGTGATGTCTGTGGCAAATGTTTTGGTTTCATTGAGAATCTCATGTGGCACAAACTTGTCCACCAAGCTGTTCCTGAGAGACTTGTAACACCAGATGAAACAGTAGCTGCTGTCGCCCCACTAGAGAATGGGCTAGCTAGTGGTGAGAACATGTCATCTTATGAAGATCATCCGACCTTGCCAAGTGGAGAACGTTTCTCCTGCTCTATCTGTGGCCAGACCTTCAAGCATTTCCTGGGACTTGTGACTCACAAGTATGTGCATCTGGTGCGTCGCACGTTGGCCTGTTCGGTCTGTGGACAGAGTTTTGCTGGAGCTTATGACTTGCTGATGCATCGTCGCAAACACTTGCAAAAGCGTCACTTCTCTTGCCCAGTCTGTGGCAAGCGCTTCTGGGAAGCTGCCCTTCTCATGCGTCACCAGCGCTGCCACGCCGAGAAGCGCCCATACCGCTGTACTGTCTGTGGGCGTGGTTTTCTGCGCTCGTGGTACCTGCGTCAACACAAAGTGGTTCACACAGGTGAGCGTGCTTACAAGTGTGCCCTCTGCAACAAGCGCTTTGCCCAGTCATCCAGTCTGGCAGAACACCAGCGTCTTCACGTAGTTGCCCGGCCTCAGCGTTGTCCTACTTGTGGCAAGAACTTCCGCTACCGTAGCAACCTTTTGGAACACCAGCGGGTCCACCTGGGAGAGAAGGTCTACCGCTGTGACCACTGCTCCAAGAGCTTCTTCTATCTGTCATCCATTCTGCGTCACCAACGCTCCCATGATGCTAAGCGTGAATTAAGATGTGGGGCCTGCCTCAGGCTCTTCAAAGACCCTAAGTATTTTAGCAAACACCTCCAGGCCCATCAGGGAGGACGGCCCTTCAAATGCAGCACCTGCGGAGAAGCCTTCTCCAATACTTACGGCCTCAAAAAGCACCGCCACATTCACAAGATGGAGCGCTTTGCTGCCATGGGGGTCCATAAGGAACAGCCCTAATGTAGGAATAGTAGCAGCAGGAAAAAAAATGGGTGGTCCATATATTGGTACTGTAGGATGGGATTTGAAGCTAGTTCCAGGTTTCTGTGAGCCATGATGGCAAGGCATTTCCATGTATAGAAAATAAGATGTGCTTGTTAGCAGTGAGATGCTCCAGTTGGGCACTAATTTGGAAGAGTCATCAAATCATAAAGTCACGAGCAGGACAAGCCACATAGAGGCAAGAATGAATTGTAAAGATAGGGTATGTGCTGTAATTAAGAAGAGGTAGCCACCAGTTACTTGCTAGATTTCTGCTCTCTAGCAGAGTATCTTGACCGCTCTGGATTTTTAAACTAATTGCCTGGGGAAAGGGAGATGGAGATAGCAATCATAGAAGTGACCTTTGCCTGTCAACCATGGCCACAGTGTTGGGGGATGAAAGTTTCTTCCTGTTTCTGAGCAAATGGGAGCAAATAAGGTTATGGTGGAATGATATATTTTTTTTCATTTGAAGCCCATGCTTCTGGAATGGAAACCATATGGCATTCCAGTTCACAAGAAGAGATGGTGCTTCCTGTAATCCCCTTTACCGAGAGAGAAATGTTAGACCCACTTCATTGGGAATGAGACAGGAAGGACCATGATACAGCACTTGAGGAATGTCCACCAATCTTTTGTGTAAACTCAACTATGTAATCTGCATTAGGTAAGCCTTGCTTGCATTCTGAGAGAAAGACTTTAATTAGTGTCCTTTCTTCATATGTATAAAGAAAATAGGCTAGTTCTCAATTTTTTAAGACCTGGGAGGTAGTGAGACATGTCTGTGGACAGTACAAAGTTAACTGAGTCTGCTTGAATTGTCTAGTAGTGTGTGGCACCTGTTGTCTAAATGCTGTTGTGCCATAACATTTGTTATATTGCTGTCTTCAGAACAGAACCAGTTCATGATGCAACTGGAGGTTCACAAGAACTACCTATAAAAGAAAAGTTGAGCCTAGAAGGTTTCTAGCCAAGCTTCCCTGGCATACCACTTTCCATATTTAGGGAGCACTGAATGTTAAAAAGCATTTGGAATTGTTATTGTTCCCATTATGCACCCCTGAAGAAGCAAAATCACAGGATAATTGTATTGTGTGCTTTTCTAAATGTTCAAGTTGGCCCATCAGGAGTAGAGAGGAAATACAAAAGTAGGCTAGGCTCGTTTCCCCTTGTGTTAGCTTTCTTCCTTTTTGCTCAACATCCTTCCTAATCTATTGGGCTTAATATAGATGAACTCATGTGTGAATAATACCTTACTCTGAGCCCTAAAATAGAATGTGGCTTTGGAATGAGAGCTGTGACTGTACATTGTTAGCCTTTCCTAATGTTAGCCTTCCTTCTGCCCACCAGAAGGAAGAGAAGGAAAAGAAAAATAAACTTAATTGATGGGTCTACCAGGATTGCACAATGCTTTAGCTGCTCTCCTGCATTCTCTGGTTTGATCCACAAGCTTTTCCTAGTAAGACACGGTGTATCATTGAGACATTGAGCTAACTGCCCTGGCCTTGTAACTCCATGGTTATTAGACTCATATAATACTTCAGGTTTGACTCCAAAAAGGTTCTTCAAAGCACAAACACAGCATCAGGGATTGTGTGACTGCTGGAGATGTCTAAAAGTCACCAACGGGTGTTGTGTTCATTGTCCCAAGCAATCCGAAGCACCTTATCAAATCTGAAGAAATGCAAAGCCCCCTTTTATACATATTTGACATCAGTCTGAATGGATCCTCACTGCACCTGAAGTGGAGAACACTGACCAGGCATGAATAAAAGGATCCTTGCAAACTCTCTGACTTCCCCCAATAACTTTTCCTCTTCAATCCTCCTCCAGCAAATTGTAGACATTGGAGTACACCTTTAAATAGACTGGTGGGGAAACTAATTTGCTAGATGCAACCAAAGAGTTCTAAAAACAGGCTCCCTTGTGTACAGTGGACACCACACAGTAATTCTCACTTCCTTCTCGTAACCCAAGCTGACAGTACAATAGAAAGTAATTTCAGCATTTCCACTCTTGCAAAGCGAGAGCATCTCTTTTACCAGATGGTTGCACCAAAGCTCCCTGGTGTTGCTTTTGAACTACCACCCACTTGCGCACATCCATAGTTCCCAGACTGGCGAGTGTCAATCTATGATTATGAGGATCCAAAGATGTACTGTTTAAATTTGGTTGTCCATTGCCTAGAAGGGGAAAAGTTGCCAAAGGCTTTTTGAGCAGTACAGAATAGAATTGGAGTTTACGGAGTGCAGGTATTTCTTAAGGCAGCCTCCCCCAATCCCCCAGAAGTCTTGCCCTACAATAGCTAACCACTCTCTATGCTCAGTGAGCACATTGGGAGGGGGAGGTGGTGGATAGTGGCAGTATTTGTAAAAGGCACTATTATAAATACTTTCTTGAAGAAATTGCCACATAATTTGGTAGCCAAATATAGAAGTATGATGAAGAGTGCAAAGATGGGAAAAGAGACGGGAAGAAGACTAAAATGTTTTCCAGCCTTCCAGACAATTTCCTTAATGGCTGGGCACAGGGGGGCAAATCGTTGTCCACTTTGAGTTGGCCCAGTTAGATTAGCATCTGTTTGAAACATACCAGTCCCTCTTCTGTCTCTAGAAGTGATTGCAACTGGATGTTCCTTTTCTTGTTTTATCATTTTACTAAATTGTTAAAGGTCTGAATTTTTCATTGAAATTCAGTGAATTGTGGTGGCTATACCTCAGCCTGTCTTTTGCAGAAATCGTTTTCCTCATTTAGAATTTTTCTTTCCTGCCTTCATAATTTGCAAATAGGATGAGTTTAATACAGGTAGTCCTTGACTCACAACCACAATTGAGCCCAAAATTTCTGTTGCTAAGTGAGACATTTGGTAAGTGAATTTTACCCCATTTTATGACCTTTCTTGAAACAGTTAAGTGAATCACTGCAGGTGTTAGTAACATGGTTGTTAAGTGAATCTGGCTTCCCCATTGACTTTGCTTGCAGGAGGTCACAAAAGGTGATCACATCCTGGGGCACTGTAACTGTCATACAGTATCTCACTGAGCACACCCCCTCACATTTTGTAAATATTTAAGTATATCTTTTCATGTGACAACACTGAAGAAATGACACTTGGCTACAATGTAAAGTAGTGAGCGTACAGCTTGTATAACAGTGTAAATGTGCTGTCCCCTCAAAATAACTCAACACACAGCCATTAATGTCAAAACCCATGGCAACAAAAGTGAGTACACCCCTAAGTGATAATGTCCAAATTGGGCCCAAAGTGTCAATATTTTGTGTGGCTGCCATTATTTTCCAGCACTGCCTTAACCCTCTTGGGCATAGAGTTCACAAGAGCTTCACAGGTTGCCACTGGAGTCCTCTTCCACTCCTCCATGACAACATCACAGAGCTAGTGGATGTTAGAGACCTTGCGCACCTCCACCTTCCATTTCAGGATGCCCCACAGATGCTCAATAGGATTTAGGTCTGGAAACATGCTTGGCCAGCCCACCACCTTTACCCTCAGCTTCTTTAGCAAGGCAGTGGTCATTTTGGAGGTGTGTTTGGGGTCGTTATCATGTTGGAATACTGCCCTGTGGCCCAGTCTCCGAAGGGAGGGGATCATGCTCTGCTTCAGTATGTCACAGTACATGTCACCATTCATGGTTTCCTCAATGAACTGTAGCTCTCCAGTGCCACCAGCATTCATGCAGCCCCAGACCATGACATTCCCACCACTATGCTTGACTGTAGGTAAGACACATTTGTCTTTGTATTCTTCACCTGGTTGCTGCCACACGCTTGACACCATCTGAACCAAATAAGTTTATCTTGGTCTCATCAGACCACATGACATGGTTCCAGAAATCCATGTCCTTAGTCTCCTTGTCTGCAGCAAACCATTTGTGGGCTTTCTTGTGCATCATTTTTAGAAGACGCTTCCTTCTGGGATGACAGCCCTGCAGACTAATTTGATGCATCGTGCGGCATATGGTCTCAGCACTGACAGGCTGACACCCCCCCCCCTTCAACCTCTGCAGCAATGATGGCAGTACTCATATGTCTATTTCCCAAAGCCAACCTCTGGATATGATGCTGAGCACGGGCACTCAACTTCTTTGGTTGACCATGGCAAGGCCTGTTCTGAGTAGAACCTGTCCTGTTAAACCGCTGTATGATCTTGGCCACCGGGCTGCATCTCAGTTTCAGGGTCTTGGCAATCTTATAGCCTAGGCCATCTTTATGTAGAGCAGCAGTTCATTTTTTCATATCTCCAGAGTTCATTGCCATAAGGTGCCATGTTGAGCTTCCAGAGACCAGTATGAGAGAGTGAGAACGATAACACCAAATTTAACACACCTGCTCCCCCTTCACACCTGAGACCTTGTAACATTAACGAGTCACATGACACCAGGGAGGGAAAACTGCTACTTGGGCCCCATTTGGACATTATCATTTAGGGGTGTACTTACTTTGGTTGCCAGGGGTTTAGACATTAATGGCTGTGTGTTGCGTTATTTTGAGGGGACAGCACATTTACACTGTTATACAAGCTGTATACTCACTGCTTTACATTGTAGCCAAGTGTCATTTCTTCAGTGTTGTCACATGAAAAGCTCTACTTAAATATTTATAAAATGTGAGGGGGTGTACTCCTGTGAGATACTGTAAATATGAGTCAGTTGCTAAGTGTCTGAATTTTGATCATGTGACCATGGGGATGTTGCAATGGTTGTGTGAAAAATGATCATAAGTCACTTCAGTGCTGTTGTAACTTCGAACAATCACTAAATGAACGGTTGTAAGTCAAGGACTACCTGTATAAGTTCTCATATGTACTGTCCATGCTTTCCTGGACTAGGTATTTCTAAATTGTATACAATTTAGAAGCCCCCTTCACAACTCCCCAAACTGGGAATTGGTTCTTACAGGAAATGCTGTTATTAGTTAACTTAATATCACCTATTCCTTCATTTTTGGGGGGAAAATGAGTTCACCATGACTAATCAATAGGTGATGTTCCTGTTCACTGGCTTCATAATAGCTTCCCAAATGGACAATGGAATATAAAATGGAGAAACAAGTTGATCAAAGAACATACTGTGTTCCCAAAATCACTAAAGTTTTGCCTTTTTCTCAAGGACACAGGATTTCTAAAGAATTTCTTAAAAATTGCAGGCCTAGAATATAGGACACAAATTTTATGATTGTGTATCCCTATGGAATGCTTGCTTCAGTCACAATTGATGCAAACATATTTGGCTAGGTCTTGCTTCTTAATTTAGAATGGTGGCCTGTTTTGTACAGTCATCCAAGTACAGTAGAACCTCTGGTCACTACCATAATTCGTTCTATAACTTTGGTTGCAACCCGATTTGGTCATGACCCGAACCTAATTTTGGAAATTTGGCACTTACAAAAAAAATGATGTGGAAGGAGAAATCATCTGCGAAAAAAAAATTGTGAATTTTTGGGTCGGAACCCGATTTGGTCATGGTCAGAAGCGTTCATGACCAGAGATTCTACTGTATGTTTATTTTTATTATTTCACTTAAAAGGAATTAGTTGACCTTAACTAATTCTTGTAATTCATAAAACTGCAAAAGTGGAAATATATTTACTCTTTCAATGTATAGTTAACAAACAAAGAGAAGAAGCTGAGAGTACAAAATAGCTTCCTTTTCTGTTTTTCTAGCAAACTAAATACTTAAAAGATGGATGGATGAGTGTATCTGATCACTGTTACTGTCAGGATTATTTGCATCCATTCCTCATCCTAGGAACCATTTCATTTGTCCAAATCTCTTTCCTCTGTTGGATTTGTTAGCAGGTGCAATTCATGCACTTCAAAATGTATTGGTGACAAAATACATAGAATCTCCAGTTTATCTGGAACAGTGGTGCTCAATCCGTGGTCTGTGGATCCTGTGGGGCCACGATGTCATCACAGGGTGGTCTGCGAAGGCTTGAAGAAACATGTTTAAATCTTGAGTTAAGTCTTGGAGGTCTATGACCACAAAATGTATTTAAAGGAGGTCCGTGGTGAAGAAAAGGTTGAAAGCCGCTGATCTAAAAGGTATGGACTCTAGTCAAGTTCAGTGTAAGAGGCTAGAAGGCAATATTCCATGGACAGAGTTGTGTGGGAAGAGTTTTTAAGGGAATGGTGGGTTGTT